TSGAGAKMMYAATAATTTSCGMAAAATGGMKAATCTTCGCAATAAATACGGCAAGGCGACCGGAGTGAATTATTCATTCAGAGTTAATCAGGCAGCTATACACTGAAAWATTTAAAGCGATATACAGAGTGTGTTTGATTCGCGAGCTATAGTTTTGAGTTAGTGATTATTATAGTTAGTATTTGGGAGTTCAATAAATTGTTGTGTTATTTTATTTGCTCACTGGAATCATTTGGACCCCGGGAAACGTAACAATACCTTCCCTTTGAAGTATCTTGGAAGACTGGATCGGAAAACTCTTCTTAATTTTCCATAAGCTTCCCAGGTTAATTGTTAATAACCCTGCCCAGTTAAACCAATTCTGCGCTTTATTTCGTATGTTTGATTGTCTCTTCCAATCCTTACCTCGTGTCCCAGGGATTTGTATAGACCTACTTGTTCTATGTTATTGTTATTAATTTTGATGGCATGACTCAAGATGATATTAATAATATAATGGGAATACCATACCTATCTAGCCCTACCCTTTCTGCAGCTTCATAGATGTTTTGTATGATAGTCCGTGCTTCTGGCGAAGCATAGGGTGTTTCATTTAGCTCCGTCAATGTTAGTTGCTATCTTGTCGCAGTTTATTTTGTCTAATATGCTCTATAACAAGGTGGCGAACAGTTTAAGGAAAGTGCATCGTTTCAGTACTCTTTCGATTTTAAATTTAATTGCGTATAGTTCGTTGGATAACTGTACTATAGCGTGTGTCGCAATAAAGATGGTAAGCGGCTGTATCTTGGAAAGTATTTGTTGTAGAGTGTTAGGAAAAAAATCTGATGACACACATAATTTGCTGGGAATTATTTTGAAATCTCTCAGACTAGATAGCGTAATTGCATACGGTATTTTAAAAGGTAGATTTTTTACAGATTATGTCCCCAAAATTGAAATATCAAGTAAGTTTAGTCAAAAGATCATAAAAAACCGTAATACTTTTCTTATGAGCTCTTTTTCCTAACTTGTCAAATGAGGGAGTCAAACCGCTCAATGCAAAGAAACCTGTATTTCCGACACGGCTTTACCGATTTCAAAGCTTTTACTATCAATTGAAAGACCAATAAAAATTCTACGATACATGATATAAAAATAATCTTAATCATTTTCGGAAGATCCGCTGCTCAAAACAATTTCTTTGATCTAATTTTTCACAAAAATTTCAAATGTACAAACTACCATCAAGTTATTTTACACGCATTCGAAAGCACAAGAAAAAATTAAGCAAACCGCAAAATTTTTTGATGCTGTTTTCTTTATTTTTAGATGGGGTCAAAATTAAAACAACTATATTTTTTTAAACAGCGAATCTTTCAAAAATGATTAAGATTGTTTTTATATCACATATTGTAGAGTTTTTGTCGCTCTTTTTTTATTCAAAAGTTTGAAATCGGTAAAGCCGTGCCGGAGTTACGGGTTTCTTTGCAATAAGCGGTTTGACTCTACCCCCACCCTTTATTTGACACCTTAGGAAAAAAAGTTTATAAGGAAAGTAGAACGGTTTTTTATGATCTTTTGACTAAACTTACTAGATGTTTCACTATCGGGACTTATCCTGTATAAAATCATCATCTGATAAATTTCAAAATAGTTTCCAACAAATTATTTTCTTCTGGTTTGTTATCAAATTTGTTGATACTTTTCTTTTAAACACTTTACGACAAATACTTTTCAAGATTCATCCGCTTATCCTTGTTGCGACACCCGGCATATATATCTAACAGCTGTGGAGG